GTGTGTGTGTGCGTGCGTGTGTGCCGCAGGGAACGGCGAGGCGAGCCTTGCCCCCCCGCCCCGTCCCCAGCCCCGTCCCTCCCCTGCTCCCCCTCCCCTCCCCTGCCCGCCCCCGCCTCAGCTCCTTTAATACACTTTGGTTCTCCGCTCGCTTTTGGACTCTGCTCTGCCTGGCTCAGGATACGGCTCCGCCGGCGGCGACAGCGGCGGCATCGGGCCGGTGCGGGCGCGGGCGGCGGCGGAGGCGGGGGGACGCGGCGGCTGCCGGGGGGAAGCGGAGCGGCGGCGGCCCCGCGCCCGGCTGGGCGGGCGGCGGCAGCCCGGCGGCGGTAGCGGGGAGGCGGCAGCGGCGGCGGCTGCGTCCCCGAAGCGGCGCGGACCATGCTGCTGGACGCCGGCCCGCAGTTCCCGGCCCTCGGCGTGGGCACCTTCGCCCGGCACCACCACTCGGCCGCGGCGGAGATGCAGGACCGGGAGCTGAGCCTGGCGGCGCAGAACAGCTTCGTGGACTCGGCAGCGGCGCACATGGGCGCCTTCAAGCTCAACGCCGGCGCCCACGACCTCTCCCCCGGGCAGAGCTCGGCGTTCACCTCGCAGGCGCCCGGTTATCCCGCCGCCGCCCTGGGGCCCCACGCCGCCCATGTCGGCTCCTACTCCGGGGCGCCCTTCAACTCCACACGGGACTTCTTGTTTCGCAGCCGGGGCTTCGGGGACTCGTCGCCGGCCGGCGGACAGCACGGCATCTTCGGCCCTGCGGCCGGCAGCCTGCACCATCCGCACACGGACGCTCAGAGCCACCTCCTCTTCCCGGGCATCCACGACCAGCACGGCCCCCACGCCTCCCAAAACGTCCTCAACGGACAGATGCGACTGGGCTTGCCGGGGGAGGTATTCGCCCGCTCGGATCAGTACCGCCAGGTTTCCAGCCCCAGGACTGACCCTTACTCGGCGGCTCAGCTGCACAACCAGTACGGCCCTATGAATATGAATATGGGCATGAACATGGCAGCCCACCACCACCACCACCCAGGTGCCTTTTTCCGATACATGCGGCAGCAGTGCATCAAGCAAGAGCTCATCTGTAAGTGGATCGACCCCGAGCAGCTGAACAACCCCAAAAAAAGTTGCAATAAAACTTTCAGCACCATGCACGAGTTGGTCACCCACGTCTCGGTGGAGCACGTTGGGGGACCCGAGCAGAGCAACCATGTCTGCTACTGGGAGGAGTGTCCCCGCGAAGGCAAGCCCTTCAAAGCGAAATACAAACTGGTCAATCATATCCGAGTGCACACGGGAGAGAAACCCTTCCCCTGCCCCTTCCCTGGCTGCGGAAAAGTTTTCGCCAGATCAGAAAATCTCAAAATTCACAAAAGGACGCACACAGGTAATTCGGGTTTCGTTCGGCAGATTTCCCCCCTCTGCCCGTGTATATATATGTATATATATGTATAAACTGATAGAGACTCAGACAGTGATGTAAAATGATGAGAGATAAAATAAGCTTCCAGTTTAATTTCCCACATATACACACTCTATCACACGGCTGCTTTTGTTTTGGTTTCCTCCCCACCAGAATACACTTCCCTCCATCCCAGATTTCGAAAGGATATTTTACTGATTTGTTTTAATTTGCGGGGTGAGAGGTGTAGATTCGTGCCGAGTCTCAGCGGGATCTTTCCGCAGAAACGCGGAATACAGCGCAAACTAAATTCTGCCGTCCTGCTAAAATACGGGAAGACACCTATCTATCTTTTTATCTGTCCATCCATCCATCCATCCATCCATCCATCCATCCATCCACATGAAACGCCTTATACATTTGCTATACGCAACGTATTTGCATACAATTCAGCGCTTGTGAGCACGGCTTTTATGTATGGATACCGAGAGAGAGAAACTATATAAATACGTGCAAAATCCGTCATTAGTCCCAAATCCCGTTGGAAGTGCCAAAAGTCCCTTTCTGGAAATGCTTTCCATTAAATTTAAATGCTGTGAGCAAGGCAATAAAATTTTCTCATTTAAAAAAAAATGTTTTTAAAGTCTCTCTCGATGTGATTTAAGGTGTTTTTGCAACAGTTTATTAAATTATGTAATAAGGAACAGAGGATTTGAGGCTCGGAAACTTCCACCCCAATCAGGTGGAAGAGGGTCGAGGGAGCCCTGGCTTTCCCGATGGAAAATAGCCTGAGCCGAAGGGGAACAAAAATTAACGCATCCTCCTGCCTCATCTATTATTCATTTACTACTCCTGCCGGCTCAAACCGTGCCAGACTATTTCATAAAAGACAGCCAAATATTTTAGCGACTTGCACTCCAAATATTTACCCGGAGAAAGGCTAAAAATCTCGAGGCCTATTGTTTTCTCAAGTGCTAAGCCCGATGCGAGGTGCGAGACGAGCTTTAACAAGGTTTAAAATTTGAGAAATGTATTTGCATGAGATGCCCGCACTGAAGTCATTGTGTCTGAGCGGATGTCTTTAAGAAACAATTTGGGTGCTAATGGAATTTAATGTTAAATGCTTCCCCCCTCCAAAGGCGGGGGGATGTGGAGTTCTCACCTCCAAATTACTCCCCGGCATTTGGAGTCCTGGCAGCCGGGTGAGAGGAATCCCTATGAAAATTAGATGAAGTATTTTACAGACGTTTAGTTTTCCCAGCGGATGTGCATTTATCTCGAATATCCATACACGAAACAATATGCCCGGCCTTAAATCTGTCGGTAATGGTTTCCAGTTTAACAGGATAGCGGATTTGGTACCGAGACGAAACGTCTCGATGCTGCTCGCTCTTTTTTTTTTTTTTTTTTTTTTTTTTTAATCATCGCCTTTCTTCTTCAATCTCTTTCGGGGCTGACTGTGTGTGTCGGCACTGGTCGAACTAAAATCGGGCAAGATACCGGGACGGGGATGCCCCGGGTGTTTCGGTAGGAAAACCAGGTGGGGGACGGGAGTTGCCTCCCTGCAGGGCAAAGAGTGAGCAGCGCGGCCCTCCCGCGCTGCGGGTACCGGGACAGAACCGGCCTCTTGCTTTGGGAAACTGCTGGACGAAGTGACTGGGTGAGGGGGGGGGAAGTGGGGAGGAAAGTTGGCCAGAGGCTGCGCGGGGTTTGAGTGGGGGCGATCGCGCTCACTCCGCAGCTGCGCCACTCTCTTACAGGGGAGAAGCCCTTCCAGTGCGAGTTCGAAGGCTGCGACCGTCGCTTCGCCAACAGCAGCGACCGCAAGAAGCACATGCACGTCCACACCTCGGATAAGCCCTACTTGTGCAAGATGTGCGACAAGTCCTACACGCACCCCAGCTCCCTGCGGAAACATATGAAGGTACCCGGCCCCGCAGGAGGCGGCGGGAGGCGGGAGGGCGGCCGCGCCGCGCCGGGCGCCCCGACGGGGCGGCGGGCGGCG